AAGAGCGGTGAAGAAGAAGAAATGTAAGATCCAAACTCATACTCGCCTTAGGTACTCAACTCGGCCTGCGGGTTGGGGTACCGAACACTATATGAGATGAGATGGGGTTACAGCATGGTGAAAACCCGAAAATCGAGTTCGGGCTCATTTATTTGGATACGAGGTCGCGTATTAGTACCGACTGAATAGTAAAGTGGCATTTGTCATTCATGGGTTTCGGGTCTGGATAATATGAAATTGCCTGAAAATTCTGGCACCGGTCCCAGTCAATATGATGTATAATTTGAAAAAAAATTCTAAATTTTGTATTTAAACTCAGGTTCGGGTACTCAACAATCATCTGAACACCTAATCTCTCGTTCTCTACAGATACTTACCAGACACTATCGATGTCGGGACAACAAGCCAGCAAAGGTCGACAGGGTGCGAGTGCTAAGACCATTCTCGGATCAGATTCTTCTTCGCGATCAGGTCAGCGGTTCGATCTCTCGAAAACTCTGTTTATCTCCGAGGGTTTTTACATATTTGTTGTACATTGGTGTTCTGTGGGTAATTATAAAACGAAGAACTTATAAGAATCCATAAAATCGAAGAGTTTTATTGTGGCCTTATGTTATCAGGCATGTGGAATCCTTATGATCTTTCCTTCTGTCGGTAATTGTGTTTTGGTTCAGTCGTTGTAATATTCATCTCTCATATCTGCATTCAAACTCTGGTTTCGATGGTTAAATACAGTTCTTGTATTATTAATTTAGAGAACCTTTAAAGTTCTTTTATTATCTGATTAGAATTTATTTCCGATCTATCTTTAAAATCAGGATATTTAGAAAATTTTGACATTTTACTTTGCTCTATCTAAAGTTTTATTTCGAATATCCCGTAAAAGTTTTATTTTATTTAGTAATTTAATAAAAGAAAAAACTCAAGAATGGTAAACAAATCAAAAAATTGGTTGGAAAGGGTGCAACCGATCAGTGTTTACTTGGAAAAATAACAAAAATAACATTTGACGAGAGCACGCTTGAAGTGTAACTTTAGAATATCTAGGGTTTTCCAAAAAACCAATATTTTTAAAAAAATTACGATAAAATCAAAATAACTAGTATGACCAAATTTTCTCGGTACGACTAGTTTGAAAAAAGTATGACTAGTTTAAATGGACTAGTTTGAAAAAAGTATGACTAGTTTAAATGGTCTAACCAGTCTGACTAAATTTTTAGTCTGATAAACTCCGCACGATTTCCATTTCTAACAAATTCCGCACGATTTCTATTTGGTATCAGAGCAAGGCAACGATTATGGACAATGAAAAAATTGATTTTTCAAAAAGATTACCATTAATATTAACTAATGAAGATGATTGTTATCCCAAATTCTCTTATAAAGGAAAAGTGATAACAATACCAAAAAATCTTCATGATCAAAGCCGATATTATATTGGTATCATCTTCGATGATGATACTAATTATAATCTCGGAAATAAAATAAAAAAAATAAGATTTACCTTGAATAATATTGTTGAAATGATTACTTACGGAATCATATATCAAAAATCCAGAAAACCACGAAGAACTAAAAAGAAATATGGACAATATAAAAACAAATTTAGAAAATCAACTACAAAGATTAATAAAAATATGCGAATAAAATTATGAGAAACAAGATGAAATTGAAAATATAAAATAAAAAACTAAAAGAAATAATATATCTACAAGAAAAAAGTATTAACGAAATAAAGTAAAACTCTGAAGAATTAAAAGAATATATTAAAGCAATAATAGGATGACTGAATCTATAAAAGAAACCATAGAAAAATTAATTAGAGAAACATTTGTCGAATTAAAAGGATTATTATTAAATATAACAGAAATACTTACAACAACAAATAATTACAGTTATAATAACAGACAAATCCAAATAATAAAAGAATTTAACGATGCTAAAGAATTAGTCAAAAATATTATCGCAAAAAATAAAGGAAAAGATGTAATGAATCCCACGAAGATGAAAAACAAAGAATATTAGAAATAATAGATTAATTGCAAGAAATAATCGAACAACTTAATCAAAACAAATATATCACCATAAAAGACTTACAAGATCATTTTAAGAAAGAAACAAAAGAATTAATTATTATTGATCAGTCTAATCTACGGATCAGACTTCCACCAAAAACACCAAAAATATAATGGAAGGACTAGATGATCAAATAGAAAGATTATCAACATTATTAGCTACTCTCAATATACCCGAAGAACAACAACCAGATGAAACTGAAAAAATTGTCTTAGACTATAGTAGTGATGAAAATCTCTACGAAAGTCCTTACGACAATCCCTTTTTAGTCAAAACTGAACTAGAAAGGGAGAGTAATGAAAATACACTACCTAAAAAACGAACACATAACGAATATCAAGGATACAAAGATTATGAATATGAATTATACCAAAACCAATATATTCCGAAAGAAAACAATTGGAGGAAATTTCATTTCGAATATATCCCGAAACACGATATGTTTAATATAAAATCATCAGAAATATTAAATTTAGATTGTGAGATTAATCCACTTAGAACATTAGAAGATTGGAAAAATCGAACGAGTTTACTAATACAAACTAATAAAGAATTAAGAGATTTATATCCTCATGAGATGTTAAGTCATTTGGAACATAAAACAACATGAATAGTATATAATTACTTAACAAATTTACCATCAGGAATAAAAGCAGAAAAAATTCTAGGACCAACTGCATGGGAAATATTTGTTCGATTAATCGACGTAATAGGAGAAGAATTTCTTGGAAGAACTTCTAACTCCCAATTACGAGAAACACAAATATCAGAAATTGCATTATGGAAAATACTAAATCTTAGAATTCGCAATGTGTGCTATTTCGAAGCATTTATTTGTGAATTCACAGATCATTACTTCGATTAGTAAAAGATAAGAAAATAGTAGTCGAAGAATTATTCTTTGATAAATTACCTTTATCAATATCAGAAGAAATTAAAACTATATTTCAGAATAAAGTAAACACTACAAAAAAAATGGTCATTTCCAACGGGTAAATCCGTTGGAAATGGTCAAATTTCCGTTGGAAATTAACGTTTCCAACAGATTTCCAACGGATTTATCCGTTGGAATTTCGTCGTTAGAAATCGGTGTCCGTTGGAAAACCGTTGGAATTTTCAACGGAATTTCAACGAATTTTTCCGTTGGAATTTTCCAACGGATTTTCAACCGGCATCCGTTGGAAATTCCAACGGATTTCCAACCGCAATTTCGGTTGGAAAATTCCAACGGAATTTCCAACCGCAATTTCGGTTGGA